TAAAGAATACCTCAGAAAATGTTGAACATTATAAGTAGTAATAGTTATCCAGAATTAGAAAAAATAAAGGCAAAAGTTCCTGGTTCATTTTTCTCTAAGTGATTCCTAGGAATGCATAGATTGGTCTTGGTTATTTTTAACTTATGGTAGAAATGTGGTTAAAAGTTTGGGCTTTGCAGTGGTTTTTTTAAGCCATGTTATAAGAAACCACTGGGTATAGTTCTACAGAGAATCATGAATTCCACAATGTTGGATTCTAATTAAAATTTAAAATCTACATTACACTATTTTTAAACCAACCACACACATATGCATATGCACACAGAGTCCAAAAATAATTAGATAGAGGCAGATAGACATGGTTTCAAATTCTAATTCTACTATTTACTAGCTGTTTGACCTCGAGTAATGTACTTAATCTTTCTCATTCTCAATTTTGCCATGTAGAAATAGAGATAATGATCATACATGTCTCAGAATTGTTGACAGGATTAACTGAGATGCTGAAAGGAGGCAGTACAGCACAATGCTTTAGACTGTAACAGTCCCCCATCTTTTGGGCACCAGGAACTGGTTTCACGGAAGACAATTTTTCCACAGACTGAGGGGGCTGGAAGGGATGGTTTCGGGATGATTCAAGTGCATTACATTTATTGTGCACTTTATTTCTGTCATTATTACATTGTAATATTTAATGAAATAATTACACAACTCACTATATTGCAGTATCAGAGGGTGCCCTGAGCTTGTTTTTCTGCCACTAATGCTGCCGGGAGGCGGAGCTCAGGGGGTGATGTGAGCTATGGAGAGCAGCTAGGCTGTAAGTACAGATGAAGCTTCCTTAGGTCATCTGCTGCTCAGCTCCTGCTGTGAGGCCCGGTTCCTAACAGGCCACGGACCAGTACCAGTCCACGGCCCAGGGGCTAGGGACTGCAGCTTTAGAGACCAAGTCCTGACAGCAATGATTCTGTAAGTGTGGTCCCTGGACCAGCAGCATCAGATTTATCCAAAAACCTGTTAGAAATGCAAATTCTTAGACCCCACTCCAGACTTACTAAATGTGGGCCCCAAAACTGTGTTTTTTTATAAGCCCTCAACTAGCATTGAGACCCACTGTCCTAGACTCAGACTTCTTGGGTTTGAATCCTAGTCTTGCCATTTAATAGCTTCATAACCATGGGCAAGTTACTAAATTTCTATAATCCATGTAAAGTGTTTGAAATATAGTAATAAACATTAGCTATTATTAAAGTGCTTAGGACAGTGCTGGACTATATTAAGCATTTCAGTAAACATAAGCCACTAGTAGGATAATTACTATTATAATTATCACATCTTTATTGTTATAACATGCCATTGTCAAACAAGATCAGGTAATAATATTTAAGACATAATGTCAAGTTCAAAGTAAGAAAAAAGAAATTGAAAGATCATGGCTGCATACAGAAGTTTCTGTGTAGTTTAAAAAGCAAGACCCACAGAAAGGTGACCATTATACATATATTTAAATTCCAAAGAACTCACACTGCCTTTTCTTTGTATGACCAAACCTGTAGGAGGCAGATATACTAAAAATAAAATTGATTTACCATGATCGTTCGTGTGGTTTTACAATTCAAAGATTAGCAAGACCCAAGGTTTCTTCTAATCCTCTGATTTCATTCCTTTTGTAGTCCCCATGTCCACATGTTGCCAGATTTGAATGTTAAGTATGACAAGTCAGTCAGTATTTTCTCATCTTTTGTATTTTATAAAGGTTCAAAGAAAGGCAAATGTGCCAATATGCATACAGCCTGGCATTTATTTAATAGTTCTTTAACACCATGATAAAAAAGAAGGATTGAGGATTAAGATTCAAGAATGGAGATGTTCATGCTTGGGTGAGGTGGTCATGAATTCGACAGCAAGCATCTGCTTCTTTACAGCCCAAGGCCCTGGAACTTCACAGCAATCTGATCACACCATCTGTAAGCATGTGAAATGTTTTCTAAGTGTCTTATTTTGTAGTTTATCATATTTATTATGTTTGCCATTATTATCTTTTTCTATAATAATAGCACATTAAAATCCATAAAGCCTGAAGTTTTCTCTGTAGAAAGATTTTTGACTACAATTCAGGCTCCTCCTTTCTTTGTTTTGCTGAGCTACATCTTTTCTAAGACATTGCTCATTTGATCTAAATTTTCAAATGTGTTGGCCCAAAGTTGTTCATAAAATCTTTACATTATCTTTAAAATGTCTGTAACATCTGGAATGGGGTCTCCTGTTTCATTCCTTGTATCAGTTATTTATGCCTTCTATTTTATTGTCCTAATCAATACCATGGATCAAAGTTCATAGAGTTTGTAATCTTTTCAAAGAACAATCTTTAGCTTTGCTCTTTTTACTTCTGTAATATTAATTTATTATTTCACCTACATTACTATCATGTTCCTTTCATTTATATTTGTTTTGGATTTCTTTTTATAACATATGAAATTGATGTTTAGCTCATTAATTTTCAACTTTTTTATGTTTTAGCTGTTTTCTAATAGTTTGACATAGTAGTATTTGCATTATAATTTTCTTCAGAACATTATATATATCTATAATGATGTATTCTTTGTCTGATATTCTTCAGTATACTAAAATTGTCAGCCCATTCTTTTCTGGCTAGCATTATTGCTGATGACAACATAGCCATTGGTCTATTTGGAAATCCTTAGAAGTAACATACTTTTTTCCCCCTTGGATGACTTCTAAGACTTTTCTTTTTTTCCTTTGTTGTACTTCAATTTCATTATAATGTGCCTAAATGTAGCTGTCTTATACTCATACTTCTTGAGATTCATTGGGCTTCTTTTACATATATATGTGTATATATATATGCATGCATATATATTTTCCATACATATATGTACATATATGCATATGTATTTTACACATATTTACATATGTATGTAAAAGAAGCCCAATGTGTATACCCAATGTGTTTATTGGGATAGCATATAGTGCCGATTCCTTCTGAAGGAACATCCTTCTGTAAGCTTTGTGTTTCCTCCTGTAGGCTTGCAGAGGACAATGGAGTAATCAACACACAAAACTACTGTTTGTGCCTGGCTCAAGGCCATGGTGATTTTATAGCATCCTGGGCATTTCACATCCATGAGGAAGGAATTGGGGCTCTGCACCAGGTGCTTCTTTATGTGTTTCCTCTTCTGCTCTTCTGGAGAGGGATGAGGGAGATTCTTTGCAAGAGGCATATTCTCATGGGGAGGTCGTCCCCACCGGAAAGCCACTGGGCTTCTTTAGTCTGTGGATTGGTGTCTTTTGCCAGTGCTGGAAAGTCGTCAGCCTTCAATGGCATTCACTCTTTCTTCTTCTAATCATGATCCAACTAAACCTCCCATACCACACATCTCTCTGTTTATGAAGTGTGCTCTGGGTAATTTCTTCTGATGTTTATTCCATTTAATTCTATTTTCAACTGTAT